TAATTTCAATAACATGAAATAAAAAAATTAACAATAAGAAAATAAACTAACAAAAAATTGATAATACAAAAAAGATTAAAAAAATTAAAGTTTCGTCAAGTTTACATGTCAAATCTAAGATTTAATTGTGATAGCAAGACAATCCCATTTAAAACAAGTTTAGTAAAATAATAAAACTTAATTAGCAAAGAATTTAATGTTGAAAGATATAGTTCAAAAAAAAAACAAAGGAAAGAAAATTTATATAAACTTAGGCTAACTCATTAGTCTCATAACCATAGATATAAAATTGGGATAATTCTATAAATAGAAAAGAAAAAAATATGAAGATCAATTTTCAACAAATCAAATATTAAAATATGAGATTGTAAAAAAAAATGTTTTAAGAGAATATGAAAAAATAGTAAAGTTGTACAAAGTCTATAACCCCAGCCACGAAAAAAATTCTAAAAAACAAAAAATTTAAATTCTTGATAAAAAAAAATAGCTAATAATAAAATTCTTGATAAAAATGAATGGATGAAACAATAAAACAAGACAAGCAATAATTAAATAAATGGGGACAAAATTCAACATAAAAAAATAAATCAAAGTCAAGTATGAATGGATGAAATTAAAGACAATTTAATTAGAAAAGAGATAAAAAATAAATAAATAAAAATTAAGACAACAGTGGAATAAATTCTGACTTTATTTTTTCAATAGTAAACATAATAATTTTTTTGTAAAGTTAACATCTTATGTTTATATTTAATTAGGCAACTTGATATGATTTTTAAAAAATATATTTTAAAAAAATTAAATTTAATAAAAAATAACTAATAAAAAGATATAACATAACCCAAGTCATTACCAACATTAATAAAAATTCTTATAAAAGAAAAACAAGTAACAAAGTTTGATCTCCAAATGAATATATATCAAGGGATTAAAAAAAACACAAGCTTAAAAAACAAAAAGGAATAAAAAAAAATACAAGCTCAAGTGAATTACTTAAATTTGAACTAATATCTCAAATTTGAACGAATTACTTAAATTTAAATTAATATCTCAAACTCGTAACTTGTAAAATCTTAATTCAAACTATATTAAGAAGTTTAATTTTTAATAAATTTAATGATAAGGAATGAAATTAAAAAATATATGTTAATTAAAAAAATTATAAATAAAAATTAAAACAATAAAAAAATATAAATTAAATTTTGTATAAAAAAAATAGAGGTTGGAACAGCCAAACAAAATCAATTTTAAAAATCTTCATAGAAAATAATAACGACCAAACTAGAATATTGAAAATTTTGAAGGGAGTGTAAATTGATAAAAATATATTTTAATACTAGAATATTGAAAATTTTGAAGGGAGTATAAATTGATAAAAATATATTTTAATTTTATAAATTATTTAAAATAAAATAAATAATAATTAAAAAAATGAGTTAAATATAAAAGAAAAATCTATTAGATGGCTAATTTGAAAAATTAGAGGGCATGGGAGAGAAGGGAAAAAAGAAGAAGAGGCAGTTGATTCCAGTTCGAAGCTCCTCCAACCATACCCATGGTCCTGGCACAATGGGAAAAGCCATATGAATTTTTTTGTTTTTGTTTTTAAGAGTATTTATATTGTTTTATCGTGCTAAAAATAATGAAAAGACCCTTTCAATCTCTATTAATTTCATAATTAATATCAGCCATGTCCCATCAAAAACTATTTTACTCTTAAAAATTAATTCAGTTAGTTTTTGTTTGAAGAACAAAATTATCACTCTAGTGTTTCAATTCACATTGCAATGAGTCTTATCTCATCATATTTCTCATATGCCTTTTAGTTTTTTTGTATTGTTTTTGTTTAATATCTAAAGCACTATTTACAAGTTGATAATACTGTACACACAAGTCTCTTCTCAAAAGAAAAAAAAAGCACTTATTTTATTCATTTATTTTTCCACATGTTTCTTACTTTATCAAATAAAATTAAATATTAATTTACGAATCAAAGTATCTCTTATTATACCAAGAATTTATTTTACAAGCATAACTCAACTCATAACTCATCAATTAGGGAAATTCAATATTTTTCCATGACTTCATCGCTGCTATAAAACAATAAATTACATTCAAAATGGGATGTAATTTGTATCCGATCCCACTTTTCATGTTATTATTTAAAAGATACAGCACTTCACACACTCAGAATTCAATCCATCACACTCTCTTTCAGCTGCTCTGCAACTTGCCATGGACTTCGGTTTCATTTTATTTTTGCTGTTTAAGGGTATCAGAGTCAGTTTCTTTGACATTTGACCATCAAAGCTAACAATGACTTTCGTTTTTCTCTGCACTTTAAAACTCCAAGACCTTGCACTGCGCAAACAACATGGTTAAAAATGAGTTCAGACTTTTTAGATGACAACTCATGATACAATTTAGGATTTAATTATTGTTTTTAGAGGGAAAAAACGAAGATAATTAGGATAAAAAGTTATATTATTCCATTTTTATATATTTTAAAAATACAAATTTTACTTTTGAACCGAACTGCAAATATATTCATTTTTATTTTTATTTTTATTATTCTAATCAAATACCTTTATATCATTTTTGTATTTATCTCTTCTATCTTGTCATGCCATTATATTTCTATTTTGTTTTTGTTAGAATTTTACAACATTGATTTAAGAGCATAAATAGAATATAGTTAGAGATAGCTGTGCATGCGCCACACATGTAAAAACTTAATCTTTTGCATTTGCTTAACTTAGAAACAAAAACAGAGAAACTTCAATGGCAGGAAAGAAATGGGATAACCAGGAGTAAAGAACAAACAATTCATTATTTCCAAGAAAGAAAGGGTTGGCTGGTGTTAAAGAATTTTAATGATGAATTGAATCCATCCGTTATAATGGAAATCACACACAATTTTTTATTTTTATTTTGTTACATGTGCACTGATGAATTTCTATTTTCTATTGCATTTTTTTGGGAAGAAAAACTCCAACAAGGAATGGTGGGGAGCTGGACATGTGTCCAACTAGGAAGACAGAATCATCAGTGGTCACAAAAGAAGCAGTTGAAAAGACAAGGAATCGAAGTGTGTGTAATAAATAATCGATTTTAATAACTTAATCACATGTTGAAATTGCAACGTTTTAAATTCCTCAAACCACAGTAATCACTAACTATGGTCGGCTCTTTTTTTATTACAACTTGGGTCAGGTCAAGTATAACAAGAAAGTAGCTGGGTTGATTCTCCCCGTTTGTACTTGAAATTTCCCTGTACAAAAACAAGAAATTGCAATGACTTTTGTTGCCTCTGATCTGGTTCCAATGGGGGGTCAATCTAATTCTTGCAAGGAAATGAAACCACAAGAAGATATTGAAGTGAAAAAGGAGCAAGAGGTTACCAATGGCTGTGGTGAAAACATGGTATCTTGCAAGGAAGGTGCTGATTTGTTGGAGAAAAGAGGGGTCCATCCTCTTTGGACACCCAGTTCCAGGTACGAGTCTGCTTTCCTTTTATTAACCAGAAAATTTTCTGTTTTTGTTGAGAAAAAAGTCTTGAATTTTTTTTTTTTTTGCTAGCTTGTAAACGAAACAAAGGGAAAAGAAAAGCTGCGATCTGTTTTATTTGTAAAGAAGTGTTGTTTATGAAAATTAAAAGCTAATTCGTGAAGGCCTGATGGGAGCTTAAATTCTACTGTGTTGTGATGCTTGAATGTAGTTGAATCTTGGGGGTTTGTTAGGTTATGTTTTTTGGACTTTCAGAAGAGGAAAGAACCTGCTGTATGTGTTCATAAATGGTGCTCTTGTTTCGCTAAATTGTTCTATTATTTAAGGATCTGAAAGTTCTCCTTTGATTAAATTATTGTAGCACCAAGAAAGCTGTGTAATACAGGACTAACGTAGAAAGAGAAATGTTGATACTTCACCAGCAATTAGAGCAGGAAGCGACACAACTGATTGTACAAGTTACACTCATAGCCAGTCCAAGAAGAGCACCATGAAGTTACACTCTTTTTTGTGACCTAAGCTACAAATTTAAAGATGCTTTCTTTCATTCAAGCCCTAGCTTCCAAACAAGGATACTTTCCATATAATTTGGGAATTTCCATAAAATATCAGCAATCAAATGTATTTTGAAAATGGATTGAAGGGTAGGGAAGAGATACAAACTGCCCCGTCTTAAAGTAGGCAGTGAATAAAAGTTCTGCAATTTTTCCTCCTTAAGCTTCAATGATCCCTTCATTTTGAGCACCAGCAGAGGCAAAATTTTATGAGTGGGATGCATCTGGATTGGTATGCTTTGTATAACAAATTACTTAATCAAATCCTTTGTGTTCTCTGTTGTCAGAGTGGGAAAGTTTAGGTGAGTATGCTTTCACTCCATGGTAGGATTCTGTGGATGCTACCAAGTTACAAGGTAACATAACTGCATATCTTGAAAGCAGTGAAGAGAGTTATTGCAAGACTTGAAAATATTTCTCTCGTTACTGCCTTCTTGTATCTCTTTTTGACATAAAATTTTTGTGCTTAAAAATCCTACCTGTACGGAATAGAAGCATTTGTTTGCTTAAAAGCTTACCCATAGAGAAAAGAAGTTATGAAAGGACTTCTACTTAATTGCTTCTTTTGGTCTGGGTTAAGGCTTGTTTGGTCAAGGACACCTTGAATGAGAAGCAGGTGAAAGTTGCCTTCATGTCACTTGTGGCGAACACATGCAGTATCAGTCTGTCAATGCTAATTGCAGGTCTATTCGCAAGACAATGCTAGCTGGCCTTTCCTTTTCCTTTTCTGTGCAGTTATTAGGCTTGAGGATGCTACTGGATCCTTTTTTGCCTTCTCCTAGATCATCTTGTCTGATTAACATGATTTTGAATAAATGTCAGATCAAGTGGCAACTAAGAGTAATCACTGTATTCTTTCAAGTAGCAATGTGCAAGCTTCTTATCAGCCAGAAAAATTGATACATTATGCAGTCATTTAAGCTCTATGACTTCTTCTTTTTCTGTGATAGAGTATGTTTTTGTTTCTGTTATGTTTACACTCTTAAGTTGCAGAACTGTCAAGTTTGATTTTGACGGTAGCTGGAAGTCCTATCTTGTGTTTTATTTTAGCAGCTCAGATTGTTTGGATCAAATGATTTTTGATCCACAGTAATTTGGTTTAGTTGAACACACGTTTGTTTTGCAATTAGTATGGTTAGTCAACTCAGGAGATTATAAAAATGGTTTAGAGTTGTCAAGTTTAATTCTGAAGGTGGTTGAAGGTCCAATTTTGGGAGTCGGCGATTGTTAGGAGAATTCTTTGCTTAATCTAGATTAATTTGTTGATCAGTTGAAAACTTTGCTCACTTATGTTTTGACACCAACTTTCTCATATCCAGGGCAGGGGGTAACCATCTTTCTAATATCCAGGGGGGTATTCACCTTACAAGCTTGGCCATGGACACATTAGCGTTGAAGAGTGGTACTCAAGTAGCAGGAACGAAATAAATGAGTAGTGACATGGGGGCAAAATGATAAAAGATTTGATATCACAATATCTTTTAAGACAAAATAGAAATTAGAAAGAAAGAGAGGGATTTGTGTAGTTAACCCAACTGATTTGAATTCTTGCAGCTACTTGCATCAAAGTTGTAAATATTTTATCCGTATTCTATTATATTTCTGCATCCTCTCATTTCACTCTGTTCTCTTTTTCCTTAAGCCTCTCCACCCCAGTCAAAACTTTTATTGTGTGGTCATCTTACTCTTCTTTAATAGATATACTTCCGACATTATTAATTAAAAAAAATTGCTTATAGAAGTTATTTAAGTGGTGGATACATGCCAGACAAGTTCAACATGATGTAATGAATTATCTTTGGTTTCTTAAGGCCCACAACCATGGCAACTTCGGGACCAAATGCCACCCTTCCTGCTCCGGATCAGCTTACCATCTTCTATGGTGGAAGTGTTGTCGTGTTTGATGCAATTCCTGCAGAAAAGGTCTTCCCTCACTAGAACTTCCAAGACTTTAATAAATATCTACATGGTAGATTTCATTCTAACTCTTAATCTTGTTCATTTAGGTCCATGAAATTATGCTTATTGCTGCTGCTGCTGCTGCTAAACCTGTTGACATGAAGAAAAGTGGGTCTCCTGATGGTACACCAGTTCTTACAAGGTCTCCTTCAATGCAAAGTACTGCTGCCCCACATGCCCAAGCCTATAGTCGTCAGAATTCCTTTTGCAGAATGCAAGCTGGTAATGGTTAGAGAACATTACTGAAATGCATTTAGCGTTGGATTTCAAATATTTTATTGCTCTTTCTCTTCTATGAGATAAGATATAACTTAATGATTCTCATTGTAATTCCATTTTTTTGTTCAAGAATTGCCTATTGCTAGGAGACATTCTCTGCAGCGATTCTTCGAGAAGCGTCGGGACAGGTATCTGTTTTGCATTTTGGGATTCTCTGTCTTATCTCTTATACTTTAAAACAACATACACACACGTAACTTCATGATTTGTGGTATTGCATCTAAGTTACGATGCTCCTATGTGTTTAATGGTTACATGATGCACAAACATATCATCTGGGCTGCCTGGACCTCTTCTTTTACTCTGTTAATTGCAGGCTGGTGAGCAAAAGCCCGTATCCCACTTCACCAGAAGGAAAAGAGGCAGACACCACAAAACCTGGTATTATTGCTGCACCTTCACCAGATGCAGGTTGCTTTGGAAAATCTCTTGCATCGGACGAACTTTAACCAAAGGTTGCTTCCAACCTTGCTTGACCGATGCTAAAGGCTTCTCATGTATCATGGAAAACTGTTATTATATTAGGTTCTTAACCTTGTTGTATTGCTCGTGCAAGATGTCAAGCGCAGTGGTGGTGAAGATTTTTTGGTTGCTTTTGGATGCACTGGACAGCATGTACAATTTCTCATTGAAACTAGGGGGATTTTGTTCACATGTCTGCCCCCTGCAGCAAAAGGCACCTGTAATGTCTTCTGAACCAGCGCCTTTTGGACGATTACTTGTGTTATTATGAACTTTGGAAAACAAATGACAAACATTTGACGTGTGTGTGGTTTGCTTGTTAATGGAACCTCTCTAGTATTGTGCTGGCCATTGTAAGACTTCTTTAAGAAATTACTCGCTGTGATGTGGTTTTAGTCCGTAGCGTGAGTCACCGGTACTTATCTTTAAGACTGGTCATGCAGATGTGAACTCATGGAGAATTGAACCAGATGACTCCATAATCCAATTTCGTGCACATTCTCCTTTAAGCTTTTGACTTTTCTTCATTTAGATTGTGCTTTTGCTTTGTTATGGCTTGTGGGTTGTGGTTTCCATTCAAGCTTTTGTCCACCATTTAATTATTTTATGATTAATACGTAAAGTAAATAGTATTTGGATTAGGTGCGTGACAATCAATGTCTCATAATGTAGTGCCTTTTTTTTTCTATAATAATTTTAAGTGCGTTCTGTCCTCTTTTTATTAAACGTTTTATTTTATGACTTGCATCACAGAACGCTAAAATTTTATGGATTTGTTCCCTACAAGCTACGAACTTGTTGCTAATGGCTTATGTAAAAATTTCCAATTTTATATCATTATGTGTTCTAATAAATATCTTAATTTCATATTAAATTAAATGAAAAAGAATCTAAAAGGTTTGTTGAATTCACGGAATGCTCTTTTATCACATAACAATGTTCGCTCGGATAGTGTTCGCTTCTTCCTTTTTTGGCATTTTTTTAATACATTTGTTTTAATTGCATCAGCTGCTAATTGGATTAAATGGGATTTTGGGCTCATAATTTATATTTAATTGTTTTCCATAAGGGTTTCGAAGGTGTTCCAGTGTTAGATTAGTGTTTAATTTGACAATATAGGTTTTAATTTTGCTAGTTGCTATTGAGTTTTCAAGGATTAATTTAAAAAAAAAAAAAAAACATTTAGGTTATTGTGTGTCAGCACCTTTTCTAAAAAAACTTGCATTGAGATTTTTTACAATTTCTTGTTGGTCCCTTTACCTTTTGAGTTATGTGTTTTAATTTAAATTTTTTTTTTTTTTACATATTACTTAATGGGTTAGAGAAAAGAGAAAGAGAATCACCAAAAAATAATGAAAGAAAAAGAAAATATTTGGTTTTGCCACTTTCTAGCAAAGAAAAAGGTACCTTTTGGTGTTAGTCTTCTTAATAGGATTTTAATGATTGTGTTTTTCATGTAAATACGCTAGAAAAATAGAAAGCTAGAAAAATAAAAAAATAGATTACGGTTGTTTAGTTTTTTTATCAATTCAATTGATTTTCACTTTGTGATTGATTTTAAAATGTTTTATGAGTGAGAATGAGTTTATCAAGATTTTTAGAGTATTTTTAAATAAAAAAAGTAAAAAAATATTTTTTTGTTTGACCTTAATTTTCCAAACTCCACCCTTCAAGGCAATATATTGTTTAATATTTTTTTAAAAGAGGAGGGACATGTCATTCACCTATCTTCAAAAAAAAAAAAAAACTAAAAGAAAAAGAAAATCAATCTAGATACTCCACTTTTGGGTTACTTGTAAGGTGTGTGGGTCAAGTAAGTTAGGCATACCAATGCTTAGTCTCTTTTATTTTTTTTATTTGTTTTTGTCTTTTTTTTATAAATTTTAATTAAAACTATTCTTTTTTATGTATTTTTTAGTTTATATTATTTATTTAGTTAAGTTTTAACTAATACCTTCCCTCTTCTTGTTTAAAATGTTAGTTGTTCAATCAAACCAAAAAAAAATTTTAGAAGACAAAGTTATTAAATTCAATAAGAGATACAAATGAGTTTGACTCAAATCTATCCAACGTTATCATTATTTTGATTTTTTTATAGAAAAAATATTAAATTAATATCATTTTAATTTTTTTATAGAAACAATAAACTAGATTTTGGGCTAGTTGGTTCAATCAATCAAACTACACTTAAAAACTTAAGTTCTCCTAGGATTTTGCTGTGTTAACATTTATATAAAAAAATAAAATAATGACACTTGGAGTTTTTTTTATTGATCATTTATTATTGAACCATGAAAATTGACAAATCATATTTAGCAGCGGAATCAAAAAATAAAATTAAGAGTCAAAATATTAGTTATTTTATTATTTAGGTTAAAAATATAAAAAGATTCAAGGAACCTTAAGGTCTATCTAATTGACCAAACTGAGTTTAATAACATTGTTAAAGAGTTCCAATAACAACTGAGTTTAATAACATTGTATTATTTTTATATTGTTATGATATATCTGTATTAATGTTATCAAAATGTTATTATTTTAATTAAAACTTTATTTTTTGATCATGATAAAATGTTGTATAAAAAATAAATATTTTGACAAAAAATTATTGGAAAAAATTGAGCAAGTTAATAAGATATATATATTTTTTAATTAGACATATACCTTTTTTTATCTTTATGTGAAGTCCAATATTTTTTTATTTCCCATGTTTGCACTAGTTGTTTTTTATTTTTTTTAAATGAATGACATAAAATAAAAAAATTATTTTTGTAGAGGTAACTAATATTAATAATAAGGTGTTGAAAAAAACTGACAAGCAAAGAAAATTATAAAAAAATAAAATAAAAAACTAAAAAGCTAATTTAAAAACAAACAAAATCACTCGTTTAATTTAGTTTAGTTTTGGTTTCACAGAGATAAAATCCATTCAACCAGTTAACTAAATTTAACTAAACTCGAAGAAAAGTTTTCCTAATTATTTTATGTAATTTCTTCTCATTAGCTGGTCTTGCTGCTCTTAAATTTGATATTGGAGGTTGCATCTCAAGATTTGGTATATAACGAGAACCATTTTATGTTTTGGGCTTGTTTAAAAGTATAATATAAATTGTTTTTTATAGAGTTTTTTTATTTTAAAATATATCAAAATAATAATCTTTTTTATTTTTTAAAATTTATTTTTAATATTATCACATCAAAACAATTTAAAAATATATAAAAATTAATTTAAATTAATTTTTATTATTATTAAAACTCCGGCGCCATGTATA